CCCTGCCCAATGGAATATTCTTCCCCCACTTCAGAGGTGGGATACGACTGGTCGCCCCGGTACAGGCATATCATGCTTGCTGGGAGCACCAGGTACCGTTCCGGTATGGTGCTCCAGAGGGCCCACCCGCTCTCCTTACCGCTATTTGAGCCGATGGGGGCTTATGCGTACGGAGCGCACGGTGCCTACGCGATGCTCCGCCGAGCAGCTGGAGTGTCGCGGGTGGTAAATATGCATGTGCATGCTGCACACATTCACGTGGTGGACGCCGGGCCCCGTTGCAGCGTACCAGTTGCAACAGGATCCAGAACCCACTACTGCCCCACTTTCATGGCTTTCTGAAAAGAAGTTAAAATATGGCTCTGCAGCCTCACATAGTTAGACCAGAGGAGTGAGCAGCTATGGGACTGGCTGTGCCCTGAGAACCCTTCTTCTAACTTTGAATTAATTTTAACAAGGTTTTATCAGCCTTCTCTCTCTCTACATTTTTCAACTCAATATATTGTTTTTATATTTTAATACTTTGTTGTATACTGTCTAGACTCTCTACCTGAGAGAAATGGGCAGTTGAGGAATATGAAAAACAAACAAACACAATTGAGCTTTTAAAAAACTTAATAAGAGTACAATTTCTTCACCAGTAATTCCAAAAGAAGTACAATATATTTGATTTCTTTTTTAAACAAGTGGTTTGAGTTGCTTTGCAAGTTTGTATCTGAAATGTGGGACTATGACATTTACATGGACACCATTCCAAAGAAAAAGAATTATTCTAATATAAGAGTACTCAGACATACAAAAGATCCTTCCATCACAAAAGAAGTGCCATAATGGGACAGATCAGGATTGGGATGGGTGTGGAAAACAATTCACTTCTCATATGGTAGCATGGTAGGCTTTAGATATCAAAACTGAAAGGGGCAGAACTTTCAAACTGGAGTCCTTGATTCAAGCAAAAAATGCTGTTGTTTATCAGGAACGCTAACCAAGCAAATTTTCCAAGCACCAAGAAAGTTAGCAAAAGCAGATCTTCCAAAATCATTGTTTTATTTCTCAGTTTAATAGCTTTACGTACCCACAAATGAAATTGCATGCCTAAAGTCAATGAAGGGGCTTTTTTGACACTATGTCACAATGAGAAGTCATTTTTGGCTACATACATTTATCAAATGATAAGCAGAACACAAGATGCGATACTCACATCATTGGGAATGGTGAGTTCATGAGTACTGGCCGGGGGATTGGCATCCAAACCTGAGCATATGTAAGAGAAAATGGTCATTGCTTAAGGAGAAAGTATTGCACTTTTCATGGCATTTCACCAAAATAGCAGATCTTGTGAATTTCCAGACTGCACTAAAGCCAAAGGATAAGGAAGGTCAAAGGTTTCAATAAATAACAGATGAAAAATGGAGTTCTGAAAACATTTGCTGTAATATTTCACTAGATGACAATTGAATAGATTCTGTGATACTGGGTTCTACGAATACTAATATCCACACCTCATTTTTTTGCCTTTTGGAATAAACAAGCTGGTCTATACTGAATTTTCAGTTTTCAGTGTTCAAAATGTCACTATTGGTTGATGAAATAAAAGATACAGCTGCTTAGAAATATTGGGGAGTACTTGTAGCTATTTAGGAAGCAAACTATGATGTAGTGGTTATTTTAAACCCCGCACACCCCAATTAATTAATATCCTCTATGCTGCTCATTGTGTATGGATGCCATTTGCAAGGGAGAGGAATACTATATTTTAAACCCAGTTCTGGTGAAATAATGGAGTTTTATAGCAAAATTAATTTGAATTATATAGCATGAATGACAGACATATTTTGCCAGTAGGGAAATGGAATTTCTTATGATCTTGAGAATTAATAGCAANGCTTAGAGAGGGCTGAAAGCCCTATGAAGCGGTATATAAGTCTAACTGCTATTGCTATTGCTATTGGTGACTCAAACTTCTTCAAAGAATGTTAATCAAAGGGTCCTCATCAAATTGGAGAGAGGTATCAAATGGGGTTCATAAGGATTAATTCTCTGTCCTCTATTTTTGCTAAAGATTTCAAAGATATAGAAATGCGTATCTAATTTATAGATATAAAACTTGGATGGGATAGCTAATATCCTAGAATACGGAAATAAAATTCAAAAATCTTAATACATGGACAAAAGTATGATACATCTTGATACATCTGAAAGTAACAGAGTGAAATTTAACAGACAAGTGCAAATCTCTTCATTTAGGAAACAAAATCACATACACAGATATATGATGTGGGATACCTACTTGCAAAAAAGATCTTGGATTAGTAATTGATTGCAAACTGAATTCATTGCCAAGAGTGTGATGTGGCTGCAAAGAAGGCAAATGCAATTTTAGGTTGCATCAACAGATATTTAGTTTCCAAATCACAGGAAATAACTTACTCCATTCTATTTGATCATCTCCACTTCAAATACTAAGTTTACTTCTGGGCAACATACATTAAAGATACAGAGAAGTTGAACAGACTCCAAAAAGGTCAATGAAGAGGGTCATGGGATTAAACACTAAGGCCTACGAAGAGAAATTGAAGCTAGACATTGCTTGGACAGTGGGTTGGACTAGATGACCTATAAGACCCCTTCCAACTCTGTTAAGCTGTATCTATCTTTAGAAAGGATACTTGATCACACGATGTTCTCCTGTGTTCCACAGAGCAATAGATTTCATAACAAGATGGCAGATCTTGATTGAACTTTAAAAAAATATTAACAGAAAGAGTATTTGATAATGGAACCAATTATCCAAGAAATTGATGGGCACCTCTTCATTGGACATTTTAAAGTGGAACCTAGGCAGTCTTCTGTCTTTGATATATTAATTTGAATTCCTAAATGAAGAGGCAGTTGGACTCAGTGGCTTAAGTGACCTATTTTTTCTTCTTCTGTTCAGTCATGTTCAATTCTCAGAGACTACCTGCTCAAGTCCCTGAGGTTTTCTTGACAAAGTTTTTCAGAAGTGGTTTGCCTTTCCCTCTTTCCTAGGGCTGAGAGAAAATAATCAGCTCAAAATCAGCCAGTTGACTTCATGCCTAAGGTGGGACTAAAACTTATAGTTTCTAGTCAGATGCTTTAATTACTAAATCAAACCGGCTCTCAAGTCACCCTTTAAAACCAGAAAAGTCTTCTTCATCAGCCAAGCTAACCTACTGTGACTTTATTGCCATCAGAAGCAGTGGTTCCATGTGGATGGATTTAACAGAAGATAAAAAAAATCAGATGGAAGAGAAAGAAACAGAACATCTGTGTTTTATGCATTTTAAGAAGGTGAGATGTTGAATACTACATAGACCTGAGAAGTAGACAATTGTGATCTCTGGTTACTGCAAGTCAAATACCTATTTCACAGTGTTCAGCTCAACCCCTGTAAATTTGGTATCACCAAGTAGAATTTTCTTCCACATATAGATTGCAATCAGAAATCGATTCTGACAATTGCTTCCAATTTACAATTCCTCCACTTTAACATTCATGTTTATAGATTCTTATGCACTACATTACACACTGTTCAGTATTATAAGGTAATCTAATTTTTAGGACCTGGGATCCAATGGAACATTTTTTAAACCTTGAAACTGTTGTTTATTCACCATATCATACTCAGAAATTATAAGGGCAGGTTTATCATAATAATTCCTGATGAGAGGGGCTTGTCCTTTTAAATGCTCAAAACTTCAAACCCTTTCTACTTCTAAGATTTTATGGAGAAGTTATTTGGGTTTCTAAATTCCATCCAATTCCACAAAACCTAAATATGTTACAATAATTTAGTGATTTATCCATTATAAGAAAAAGCAGAAACTTATGGTTCCTCTCTGGATCCAAATTGAACTGCTCATCTCCCAAAAGAAGTTTTAACAATGCATATTTTTTTCATTTCATTTATTTGTATCCCATCTTTATTATTTTTACAAATAACTCAACACAGCAAAAATATCCAACCCACCTTCCTCCTATTTTCCCCACAGTGCCAACTCTATGTGGTAGGTTGGGTTGAGAGAGAGTGACTGTCACTTAGCTGGTTTCCATCTCTTAGGCAGAATGTGTCTTAACTACCAGACCAAACTGGTTCTAGTCAGTATACTATATTGCTAGTATATTGCTTAAACATCTCTTTGTATTTCAGTGACGTGCGGTGAAGCTTATGGCTGGTGAGGCAAAAAGAAAGAAAGCAGCTTTTGGCCGCCCCACAGCAGCTATGTCCGAAATAGAGGCGTCCTGCGCCCCGCAGCTATGTCCGACTCAGCTGTGGGGTGCGGGGCATCTCTATGTCAGACAGAAGCGGTGGGGCACTTTCTTTCGGCTTTTGCCTGCCCCGCAGGGCAAACACTTCCACCTTGCAGGTGCCAGAGCCACAGGCCACCAGGAGTACGTCCCTCCCGCAGCAGAAGAGCGCCGGTTCCTGCCCAGGCTGGAGTGAGAGCCGCGGAGGTGAAAGGCGAAGAGGGGTGGGTGGGTGGTGTTCCAAGAGGCCCCCTCCCCTTTTTGCACTCCGCAAGCCAGGCCCGCAGCGGCAAGAGGCTCAGCTCTATTGCCCCCCCTCTGTTCCAGAGAAGCTGGCCGTGGGCGAGTCTCCACAGCCACGGTTCCATCTCCAAGCAGCCCCGGGAGGAAACGGGCCAGCCCCACTTCCCTCCCCGGACTTTCTGGGAGCAGAGGACCCGCATTCCTCTCCCCCTTCCAAGCCCCGAGTGGCCAGCCTCGGCTCCCGCCCCTTTCTCCCAGAGCCGGCAGGTCCGCCGAGGAGGAGCCCGGACAAGGCTGGAGCGAGAGCCGAAGAGGCGAAAGGTGAAGAGGGGTGGGGTGGGTGTTCCAAGAGGCCCCCTCCCCTTTATGCGCTCCGCAAGCCAGGCCCACAGCGGCAAGAGGCTCAGCTCCGCTTCTATCGGCTCCCCCCTCCGCTCCAGAAAAGCCAGCCATGGGTGAGTTTCCGCAGCCCTGGTTCCGTCTCCAAGCAGCCCCGGGAGGAAACGGGCCAGCCCTGCTTCCCTCCCCAGACTTTCCAGGAGCAGAGGACCCGCATTCCACTCCTCCTTCCAAGCTCCGAGTGGCCAGCCTTGGCTCCCACCACTTTCTTCCAGAGCTCTGGCAGGCCCACCGAGGAGGAGCCCGGATGAGGCTGGAGCAAGAGCTGCGGAGGGGGGAGCGATAGAAGCGGAGTTGAGCCTCTTCCACTGCGGGCCTGGTTGCAGAGTGCAAAAGGGGGGGCTCTTGGAACACCCACCCCACCCCTCTTCACCTTTCGCCTCCACGGCTCTTGCTCCAGCCTTATCCGGGCTCCTCCTTGGCGGGCCTGCTGGAGCTCTGGGAGAAAGCGGTGGGAGCCGAGGCTGGCCACTCGGGGCTTGGAAGGGGGAGCGGAATGTGGGTTCTCCACTCCCGGAAAGTTCGGGGAGGGAAGCGGGGCTGGCCCGTTTCCTCCCGGGGCTGTTTGGAGAACTCCGGCATGCCTGCCAAGGAGGAGCTCGGAAAAATAAAAAAGTGCCAGCCTGCGCGCCAGAACAGGCGGGTAAAACACACACACACACACACACACAAATTACTTACAATAAAACAAATTACAATTACTTACAAATAATTTTGAATTCCTCCCCCTGCCCCCTCCCTCGGACCCACATCTCTTTTCCAGATGTGTCAGAGGATCATTTCAACTCTCCTCTTGTCCACCATGATGAAAATGTAAAAAGAAAAAGGCAACTTAGGCAAGANGCATGCAATCTTAGCCATGTGAATAGATTGAGGATACAAATTTACATAAAATCTACATATGAATTAATCACAAGACTTCCAGGGTGCAGGTACATGCAGAAATTTTTAAAAAATTTAAATGAACAAGCTCTTTGTTATGAATAATTCATAATGTGCACAAATACAATATGTGAAGAATCTTACAATGTGTACCTTATTAAAAAACAGAGGATGTGTAAGGTATATAGTCTATGCAATATTCTGTAGTTATGAAACTTTCCAGATCAGACAATGAAGAGTTGCTAGGGAAGACTTGATATAATTCCAACTTCATGATCTCCCCTGATATTGATATTAAATATTTATAAGCGTTGACAATGATAGTTTGCAGACTGCATCTCAGAGAAAGCACAGAAATTTGAAAGTACCGTATGTTCCATTAAGACTAATAAGATTTACTTCCATGGAACTGTTCTGGGATCAATCTGAATCTGTGTAATAGTGCCCAATAACTGAATTTTCAGCATAATACACAGTACTAACCAAAAACCAAAAAGAAAGGGATGGGAAAGAAGCCATATTCTGCTTTCCACTAGCTGGGAAGAAATAAGCAGGAATATGAGAGAAGAGATTCACTAAGCAATCATCCAAAAACCTGTTCAGATTGCTGAAACTTACAAATGAAGCTTAGTAATGCTGAAGTCTGCACCCATCTACTTACAGATTTGATTTGTAAAATTTTTAACAAAGTCAATGCAATATACAGCTGTATAGGATTGTAGCTGAAAGCATTAGGATTTTATGAAGTCTTGGGGCCTGTACAAGTGAGGATCTGAATTTATTTTAAATTTATTTATTGATAGCTGAATTTATTTTCAGAGATTCTTAGTTTCAGGAGAAATTATGTGAATTGTCAGATTGATAGAAAATGAGGAGTGGTATGCTGTGGTAAATGTGTTGCTATAATAGCACAATAATATTAATGTCTTTCGTTTTAAAGACTTTTATATAATAGGGATATCTTACACAATGGTACATTAAAATATTTTTATGCACAAGTTTTTTTATATGGATATTATTTTTACTTCGCTCATTATCACATCTAATAGTATCTAGTAAATGTCTTTTATTCAGCTACAAAACATACAAAAATCATTCTATGAACCAAAGCCAGGATCTAAGTATGAGCACAATGGTTTTACTTGGATTTTTAATTTGTTATGGCTTCTGCTAAATCACCGTTTCTTTTAGAAAGTGTGTGTAGAGTGCAATGGAAAGTGAAATGATGCTGTTTACTCCAAACCAAAATTTGGGGATGAAAGAACAGTTTCAAAAGCTGAAGAGAGACATAAAGATGAAAAAACTAAAGTCTAAAGAGGAGCCATTTTTACAGTAACGTATCATTCTGCTGGAGAGTTATTCTGAAAAAGGGCTAGGTTGTCTTAATTGCTGGCATTTATTTATTGTCGTGTCATTACTATTGTTGTGCTGTCTTGCCTCCTGAACATCAGTAAAACTATCCCATCAATATAATCAGAACAACTGCTTTATTTATCACTTTGCCAATGGCAAAAAGAATTCTAAGACTGTATTTCCTGTATTTATTTTACCTGAGGATTGGCTCATCAGATTTTGAGCTTCTTCGGAGGAATGTAAGGGCAGCTTTTCTCCTGAAGAGCAAAGAAGAAATACATTTAATTTTTTTTTTTTTGCCTTCAAGGAGAGAAGCAATGTTACTTCATCTAGGAAGCTCAAAATATGATGAACAAAATGGCAGAAAAAGCAAGTTTTAATTCAGATCTAATGCAATGCTATTAAAATATATGTTCAGTAACATGTACATAATATCTGCCATCCTAGTTTTCTACAGTTTTCCCCTTTTCCTAATGTTTCTGAGTTTATCAAAAATGATTTTCAGAAATCTAGTTGAGCTAAAAGTCTGGCCTATTCTTAGTTTTCCAGTGGTAAAAGCACTGGTTCAAATGCTAAGCATTCATTAGTCATCTATATATCTTTGACTCCTAGTAATATAACTTATAATATCATAAACAATCAGGGACAAGTATGAGACATTAATCTTTGCCTCTCAGTGCTGAATGCATCCTTACCCCGACTGAATGATTGTTATGACGTAGGTGTCTTAGAGTAGATAATAGCAACACATAACAAATATATGACCTGACCTTGTCTCAACTGTAGTATCTGCCTCTTGTCCCCTCTTAATATTTCCACTGCAATTATATCTCCTATTTCTAACACACCAAGCTTAGAAAAAGAGAGAACTGCATAGGTAAAAAGAGAAGGAAATCTGTAAAGGGATTTTGGGTACGTACCAGGGAAAGCAGGGGTGGTCTGTCCAAGGGGAGTAAAGGGGGTTTGCTGCATAGCCAACTGGTGGAGCTTGGTCAACTGCTGAGGGGTAGGAGGGATATTAGAACTAAGAAGGTTATTGTTATAGAATACAAGTCACACTGAAAACCAAGAACAAAATTATAGTAGTAATGTTTTTAAGAAAGAAATCAGGAAGCCATGTGGAATCATGGCAACATACAGGTTTTATAGAAGGACTTGGCCTGGGAAATTATAATTGGTCAAATTTCTGGCAGATGTGCTCAATCAGGATCTGAAACACAGCAACCTAGTTTTGGTGTTGTGTCTTTCCAGATGAAATTGAACATATGTATGTGTTCATCACAAAACATGAACCAAGTAGAAGAATATATGGATGTGAGATTATCATCTTCCAAGGAGGTTCTACTGCATAGAGACTATCAGTGTTTCTGGAGCTGTAACCTGGAATTGGTAGAAAGTTTCATAACTAGGAGGATGACCCAATGAAAATTCCAGTATGTGTTTTGGCCAAAATAGGTATGTATTTCAGATCCTGTTCATCCCTTCTTGTGCTTTTAGCATTAGACTTCTAATAACTCATTCACAAAAAGGAAGCCAATTCCAATATATTTTATGCCAAATTTATACTATTATTCAAACACCAAAATAACTTGAAACCAAATATGTTTTTAAAGCCATGCTGTATAACAGCCTGAGGTAGGAGGATGATAATTACATTCTGATGTCATCACAGAAACTCCCTACAGCATAGAATTGGCTGTGGGAAGCTCCACTAAAGCCATCCAGGTCAGCCATCTAAACTATGAGGTTCTGATCTTTTGAATTCAGAAGGGGTGGGGGGACCAAACCAAACTCCTGCTCTTGCAGCATATCTGAGTGAAAGGATGCAGGGAAGTCTGACATTGGTGTTATAACAGTCAGATGAAGCATTAGAACCAGAATACCTGAGAGGCTGAAGAAGTCAGGAAAGTTACAAGAAGTTTGAAAAGTAGAGCTTTTATTAGTCAACCAAGAAGGCAAGCAAAACACGAGAAACATATGGCATCATAGAACCTATGTTGTCTTGAAATATCTTAACCGGGGGGGTGAGGGGTGGAGGGGTTAGAATCTAAAACAATTACATTTCTATATGAAGTACTCCAAAATAAAATGTTCTGTTCTTCAAAAGTGTGGCATTCATTTCTCTCTATGCAACCTTCACTATTCCTAATCACAAATTGGATAGTCTTTAGGTTAGTGTACTGGAAGCACCATGGAATTTTGGAACAAGAAGTAACTAAGATTTAGTTACTGCTTCTTAACCAGAAGATTGTCTATATAATCTTTCTGTCTTAATCAACAAATTATGGTTTTAATTTATAGTAAAGTGATGGAATATAGAACTTCTTTACTGGAAATTAAACTATAGTTCACACATCATGCTAAGTCATAATATGGTTAGTTTACTTTAGTATGAAGTGTAAACAGAGACATAAAGTAACACAGAGCTGCCCTTCTGATTTCAGTTATGATTGTGTACATTGGAGGGAATACACAATTATGACTAAACCCACTGTGGGTAGGATGGGAAGATTTGGCTTCGCAAAAGTCACTATCTGATATAAGTAGGAATTTTAAAAGAAAACAAATCCATGGATGATTCAATAGTGCTTCTTTCTTATGAGTGTTTTTTTTGCCAACAAAATATGTTCTTCATATCTTCTTTACAGGACTGTCAAATTTGACAGCACCTAATGAATATGAATTTTATTCAGCCTTCTCCTCTCCTACAAGAACTATATGTTCCACCAGAAAATTTGATAGGTCCTGATGCAGAGGCATAGAAACACAGTCAGGAAGTTGGTGGTGGTCTAGCTGAATTTATCCATTATATTTGAGAAATTAGAACTGGTAAAGTACCAGATGACTGGAAAATAGCAGACATTGTCCATGTCTACTAAAATGGGCAAATGGAAAAATCCAGCAAACTACAGACTACTTAATCTGATCCTAATACAAGGGAAAATCCCAGAGCAGATAGTAAAGATCTTGAAACAATTTGCCACACTAATCTTACCTCATGTTTTGAACAAGAAGCTTCCTTAATAGATTGTTAGCATGTTGCAGACACAATATACAGTATCTTGACTTTAACAAAGCATTAGATAATTATTCAATGACATGCTAATCTAATTAAACATGGACTGAATGGCATGACATTTCGTAGCTGGCTCAAACTCAACCATGGCTTAAACTTAACCATGCAAGGGGTTAAATTGGTTAAGCTAGTTAAACTTAACCATGGCCTAAAATTGCCAACTTAGCTAAGCATGACAATTCACCCGGATTGTTGTTGGGGGCAATATGCTGATGCTTAGAGAGGGCTGAAAGCCCTATGAAGCGGTATATAAGTCTAACTGCTATTGCTATTGCTATTGGTGACTCAAACTTCTTCAAAGAATGTTAATCAAAGGGTCCTCATCAAATTGGAGAGAGGTATCAAATGGGGTTCATAAGGATTAATTCTCTGTCCTCTATTTTTGCTAAAGATTTCAAAGATATAGAAATGCGTATCTAATTTATAGATATAAAACTTGGATGGGATAGCTAATATCCTAGAATACGGAAATAAAATTCAAAAATCTTAATACATGGACAAAAGTATGATACATCTTGATACATCTGAAAGTAACAGAGTGAAATTTAACAGACAAGTGCAAATCTCTTCATTTAGGAAACAAAATCACATACACAGATATATGATGTGGGATACCTACTTGCAAAAAAGATCTTGGATTAGTAATTGATTGCAAACTGAATTCATTGCCAAGAGTGTGATGTGGCTGCAAAGAAGGCAAATGCAATTTTAGGTTGCATCAACAGATATTTAGTTTCCAAATCACAGGAAATAACTTACTCCATTCTATTTGATCATCTCCACTTCAAATACTAAGTTTACTTCTGGGCAACATACATTAAAGATACAGAGAAGTTGAACAGACTCCAAAAAGGTCAATGAAGAGGGTCATGGGATTAAACACTAAGGCCTACGAAGAGAAATTGAAGCTAGACATTGCTTGGACAGTGGGTTGGACTAGATGACCTATAAGACCCCTTCCAACTCTGTTAAGCTGTATCTATCTTTAGAAAGGATACTTGATCACACGATGTTCTCCTGTGTTCCACAGAGCAATAGATTTCATAACAAGATGGCAGATCTTGATTGAACTTTAAAAAAATATTAACAGAAAGAGTATTTGATAATGGAACCAATTATCCAAGAAATTGATGGGCACCTCTTCATTGGACATTTTAAAGTGGAACCTAGGCAGTCTTCTGTCTTTGATATATTAATTTGAATTCCTAAATGAAGAGGCAGTTGGACTCAGTGGCTTAAGTGACCTATTTTTTCTTCTTCTGTTCAGTCATGTTCAATTCTCAGAGACTACCTGCTCAAGTCCCTGAGGTTTTCTTGACAAAGTTTTTCAGAAGTGGTTTGCCTTTCCCTCTTTCCTAGGGCTGAGAGAAAATAATCAGCTCAAAATCAGCCAGTTGACTTCATGCCTAAGGTGGGACTAAAACTTATAGTTTCTAGTCAGATGCTTTAATTACTAAATCAAACCGGCTCTCAAGTCACCCTTTAAAACCAGAAAAGTCTTCTTCATCAGCCAAGCTAACCTACTGTGACTTTATTGCCATCAGAAGCAGTGGTTCCATGTGGATGGATTTAACAGAAGATAAAAAAAATCAGATGGAAGAGAAAGAAACAGAACATCTGTGTTTTATGCATTTTAAGAAGGTGAGATGTTGAATACTACATAGACCTGAGAAGTAGACAATTGTGATCTCTGGTTACTGCAAGTCAAATACCTATTTCACAGTGTTCAGCTCAACCCCTGTAAATTTGGTATCACCAAGTAGAATTTTCTTCCACATATAGATTGCAATCAGAAATCGATTCTGACAATTGCTTCCAATTTACAATTCCTCCACTTTAACATTCATGTTTATAGATTCTTATGCACTACATTACACACTGTTCAGTATTATAAGGTAATCTAATTTTTAGGACCTGGGATCCAATGGAACATTTTTTAAACCTTGAAACTGTTGTTTATTCACCATATCATACTCAGAAATTATAAGGGCAGGTTTATCATAATAATTCCTGATGAGAGGGGCTTGTCCTTTTAAATGCTCAAAACTTCAAACCCTTTCTACTTCTAAGATTTTATGGAGAAGTTATTTGGGTTTCTAAATTCCATCCAATTCCACAAAACCTAAATATGTTACAATAATTTAGTGATTTATCCATTATAAGAAAAAGCAGAAACTTATGGTTCCTCTCTGGATCCAAATTGAACTGCTCATCTCCCAAAAGAAGTTTTAACAATGCATATTTTTTTCATTTCATTTATTTGTATCCCATCTTTATTATTTTTACAAATAACTCAACACAGCAAAAATATCCAACCCACCTTCCTCCTATTTTCCCCACAGTGCCAACTCTATGTGGTAGGTTGGGTTGAGAGAGAGTGACTGTCACTTAGCTGGTTTCCATCTCTTAGGCAGAATGTGTCTTAACTACCAGACCAAACTGGTTCTAGTCAGTATACTATATTGCTAGTATATTGCTTAAACATCTCTTTGTATTTCAGTGACGTGCGGTGAAGCTTATGGCTGGTGAGGCAAAAAGAAAGAAAGCAGCTTTTGGCCGCCCCACAGCAGCTATGTCCGAAATAGAGGCGTCCTGCGCCCCGCAGCTATGTCCGACTCAGCTGTGGGGTGCGGGGCATCTCTATGTCAGACAGAAGCGGTGGGGCACTTTCTTTCGGCTTTTGCCTGCCCCGCAGGGCAAACACTTCCACCTTGCAGGTGCCAGAGCCACAGGCCACCAGGAGTACGTCCCTCCCGCAGCAGAAGAGCGCCGGTTCCTGCCCAGGCTGGAGTGAGAGCCGCGGAGGTGAAAGGCGAAGAGGGGTGGGTGGGTGGTGTTCCAAGAGGCCCCCTCCCCTTTTTGCACTCCGCAAGCCAGGCCCGCAGCGGCAAGAGGCTCAGCTCTATTGCCCCCCCTCTGT